TTCTTTCTTTAATTTTCTTTTCTGTTTCTTTTCCTTTCAATATTTACATATGTGTTTATATATCATTTGAAAATGATAATTAGCCATCTCATAGACATGAGGTCTATTCGATTGTGTCTTCTCACCATTAATTTTAATATTTGATTTATGTTTACATAATTTCATTTGTGCTAAAACTAGCTAGATTTTTAATATCTGCATCTATCTCTCTCCCCAGGGAAGATTTGAAGACTGAGTAGACTCAAAATTTTAGGTTTTAATTCAAAGAAAATACCACTATGGCACTTGCCACCTAATTTTCGCCTCGGATTTTTTCCACTAGAAGATTTCTTTTCCATCCAGCTATTTTTCCAGGCTATTTCTAGCTGTTTTCCAAATGCTATTTCCCCCGGCTATCTTCTGTCTCTTATACACATCTAGATGTGTATAAGAGACAGATATAACTCCTTGCGGAGGTAATAATAATAATGTTTATACAATAAATAATTCGAAATGTTTACGAACCAAGCATTCTACTTTCTACTTAATATGCACATATTTATAGATTATTAGGCCTATTACCAATGCTTCAATGTGGTTTTTATTATGACCCAATGGGGATCGATTGTATTTTGTGCACGAAGGAATAAAATAATTCCTTATCCATTCGTCAGCTCCCAATTCCAAACGTCTACAATAACATTTATTGATGCATCCAAGCAGATGACAATGGAACTTGTTTTACCTTTTGTTTTTAATTATTGTACAATAGATTAGAGGCAGCTGGGCTGTGGGAGAGAGCAGTTAATTTTTACCGAACACCGAGGTTACCAGGTACAGTAAAAACAAAGGAAGAAACTTTTTTTTTTTTTAAATCCCAACCAACATGCAATTGTCTCAGTAGGCTATTCTACATGATAAACTTGACAATTGAAGTTTAATCTTTGTTTGCTTACTACATTTAAAGATTGTACCTTTCGAAAAACTAGAACAAGAAATACATTCCCCTCGCCCGTCATACATAAAATTTTAGCTCATACCGCAAAACCGTCGAATTGAAGGCCAGTGGGCTTTATCTCGAGATGAATCCCATCTCGAATTGAAGCCCTCCTTTTTAGTTTGCAAAATTAGCCTCGAAAAGAAGCACATCTCAAAGAGAAGACCATGGGCTTCTTTTCAAGATAACATAGGCTTATAGTGCAGTACATACACTGTACATAACTTTCAGAAAACAAAATGAATTAAATGCAAGCTTGGTTTATACAGTAAGTTTAGGTCATTTAATGCCATGATACAGATTGATGTTACAGTGGCCAATTGTTTTATACTACAAATTCACAAAATTTACAGCATTCATTTTGAAAAGAAGCCCGCCTCTTTACTTTGAAAAAGTCTCGAAATGAAGCCCATCTCGAAAAGAAGCCCATCCAACGTTCGCAAAAAAAAAAAAAAAAAAAAAAAAAAAAAAAAGCCCCGGGGCTTCAATTCGAGGTTATACGGTATTCTTCATAGACCATTTGTACTTACTATTTGTACCCTCATCCCAGAAACGGAAGCACGTATCCCCACCCCGCGCCTGTGTTTAGCATCAACTTGTCAGAGAACATTAACAAGAAAATCCGCCCATGCTTTCAATTGGGCATAACTTCTCAAAAATTTGGCCACCCCACCCGCCCCCGGGGCCCTGAATAATTAACATGAAGCTCTAAAAAGCAACAGCCCTAAACTTATTTCTAAAGCAATACCACGTTTTAATCCCAATTGAAAGTTTATAAGCAATTCCAATATTGAATTTTATTTTGATTTTTTTAAAAGCTATTTTTTACAAAAGGTAATATATCTTTAACTTTTGATAAAATTTTAAGAATAGGCCCCACATATACGCTCGAAAATGGGACTCTCAGATGGTAAAAATGCTTTTTCAAAGCAGTGTTCCTCCTCGGGGGTGGGGGGATAGGTAATCCACACCCACCTCAGCCCCACCACGGTTGGGGCTTAGGTGAGCAAATTTTAGAATAAGCCCCTCTAGACACTCGGAAATGAGACTCTAGATGGTAAAAATGCATCAAAGCACTGTTCCTGTTATTGACTTCTTCCCGACGGGAGCCATGCTCCCATCCCTTAAACAACCCTACCCTGATATGACGGGCGTCGCAAACGTCTAATCAAGGACTTATAGTATTGGGAGTCGCAAAGCAAAGTATGATTATGGCACCTCTAGATAAATGCCCGGAAATGGCACTCATTCAAACTTAAAATTTGAATATTTTATCTCAATTAAAAAAATAATAAAATAAAATAAATTGACAGATATGAAGGGGGTCCTAGCCGGCTGGGCATCCTATCCCCACTTGGTTAATATGATATATGTCCTACAGTCCATGTCAGAGACACATTATGCTGTTTATCTATCAACAAAGCCCTTTTAGTTCAGGGTGCTATAGAGCGAGGACCCCCATGGGTGGGGGAACTGAAGGGGCTCCTACGGGTCGGTTGCCCTGTGTATTGCGTTACGCCAGTGGCGTATCTAGAATTCTTGAAATAAATGGGGGTGTTAATGGGTGGGGGCGCGAAGGTGAAGGGGAGAGGGCAGGGGGATCAAAGATCAATTGAGGGGGGCTCTAATTCGCAAAAATAAGGTGATTTTAGGTGATTTTTAACTATTTGACTGATTTTGTTTGGAGGGGAGACGGGTGGGGGAAGTAATTTTTGGAGGGGAAAGCGCCCCTCCCCCCGCACCCCTAGATACGCCACTGCATTACGCCACTAAGCATGGATAGCTGTTATACTACCTGGGTATCAATGGCTAAAAAACCCCGTCTTAGGTCTCTGTGTTTTGGCCTTTTTTTTCATCCTGATTTTATGAAATCGTTGGAAAAAAAAATCGGCGTCGGGGAAGTAGCATTGTGTTCGTCGTCAAACAATAGGAAATCAAAAATTAGTGAGTGGTAGCCTAAAATAAAATAATCTCTCCTGTTTCCTTCTTCCCTCCCATTAACTCTTCTCAATTTTTTTCTTCCTCTTTTTTATTTTTCGGCGGGACTGACGGGCCCCCGTAGCCCCCACTGGATCCTCCCCTGTTGTTTATTTTGTCGACACCCCATTACCGTCGGCCCCACCCCCACCCTCGGTTAACTGTCAGACCTCGTCATGCGCAGGAAAAAAAAAAACTCGCCGTGTGCTAGACAAACTCGTGCTAGATGTCACGGCAGCAAGTACGGAGTTGTTTACTTCAGGTTAGTATGATTAAATACGCTGAAGTTTCATAAATTAGGCCATATGGTAGCTAGAATTTCATAACATGTACAGTCATTTTGAAAGTGGAAACATTTTGGAGTTTCCCGTGATGACCATAAAGCCCATGACAGGTTAAAATTGTCATGTAATGATCGCCCTATCTTTGACCTTGTGTCTAGGCTAGGCCTCTTCTGCAGTTAGGTTATGATCAGCTCCGATCGCGGGCATCACGCTGTGTAGGTGAAACGGGTCGTACATTCTACCCGTCCGGAAAGAAAAACACCTGAGAAGAAAAATATAATATATTTATAATTAGGAAAAGAATACTGTAAGTGCACCTTGTTTAAAGATTTAGGGTTTTTAAAGACGTTACTTGACTAGAGTCAAGTCTAGTTTAGTTTGGATACCTTCATGTTTAGGTCTAGGCGTAGGCTAGGACTGCAATTTACATTTTTGTCATTCCATTTTAGAAATAAGCCTGGGCTAGGCCTAGCTCTAGCCTCTAGATAGGCCCCTCCCTAGACCAACTTCCATGGAATGAAGAAGCCCCTTCTTTGGCATCTCGTTAAAATATGTGCTGAAAACATCTAATCATGATTTGCGGCTGTAAATTGTGATTCCATAGTCACCAGCTGACTTCAGGGAGAAAATGTTTAATGTAGCTAGTAGTATTTCGGGAGTTGGATTAGTGAGAGGTTGTCCCAGTTTTTGGGAGACTGCAACTCAAGTTAGATTTAATGGGACCCATGCAATAGAATGTGCTCCACACCCTTGAGCCAGAGCATAAAATGTGCATTGTTTTTCAAGCATGTGCTCTTCAGCCTATCTATCTATGACCCATGAGTGGCGGCTCTAGGCTAAGTTGTCCGAGTACAGGGGGGACTTGAGCTCGTAGACTCGAGCTGGGAGAAGGGGTTGAGAGGGGTTCCCCCTCCCAAATGAGATTTTTAAAAGAATATCGACCTCTAGATGGCCGAAAATGGCACTCTCAGACTGTGACAGACATGTGTTGGCTTGGTGTGGACCTATTTTTATATGTTTTATGGTCTGACTGCCCGACGAGCTCTGTCCGGCGGG